AAAAGGATTACTTGCACAACTCCGCCGTCCCCGATTTAGCATACGAGAAATTTCTGCGCGCGTAAAGCGAGCTTTTAAAATTCATTGAAGCGTTAATTATCATGTTAATTACTAATAAAGCATATTATCTTACGGAAATATTATACGACCGNGCGATTTTATATGCCATCTCCGCAAAATTGGAATAACGCTCTCTTTAATACTTTGTCGTTTGCTTAACGCGATTATTATGAGTTAATAAGCGTGTATAATTTTGTTACGAGGGAACGATTTGCGTCAATAATTTACGACAAATTTTGCGCGTTATTACATATTTCGTATTTGGCGCGTGCGGTAAACGTCGAACGTTAATTATATTACGAAGCTAACGCTGGATTTCACAATGTCATTAACACAAATCTACGAGCATAGAGCTGGGTCGCCGATATTGATTGATAGTCGAATCGACAAGATTGAATTTATGATTCACTTTCGAAGNGTGTTACTATTGTTCCACAGAGATCTCACGCGCTATTTGTTATAATTACAATAAATTTAAATAAAACACTAGAGCTATGAAAAAGAGTAAATTCTTAATAATTATANATTTCGTGCTTAATAATATTTTGATAAATTATCATATTGCATTTTTTTGTTTTTTTTTTGTAAAGAATTATTACATTTTGAATTTTGTATGGAAAAATATTTTATTACGAAAAATAAATCAATTTTATCCGGTAAAATGTGAAAGCGTGGTAAATTCAATTATTGTATTTCAACAGAATTTNGACAATATTTCTTCGAAAGAGTAAAACAATTTAATGATAGAGTAACGTCGAAATAAAGTAAATCCATGGGAATCGTCACATTAGCAAGACTTTGAAATTGAAAAAAAAAACAAAACAAAAAATTGCTCTCAGAGCCGCGTCTGATTTAACGATTTTTCCGTGCTGGAAAAAACTAGACCGCAAAATAGATAGCCGATAATAAATCGCACAAGGATGCGCTCGCGCGCAAATGTCGTTCCAGCCATGGAGTTTAACGAGCAAGCACAAGCAAAAAAAAAGAGATTACAGGACACACTCGACAAACCTGATAAACTCCACCGTATGCAGAAAGAGTTCCTTTGTGTCCAGGAGCTCGGCGTCGTCCCACGGCACGTTTTCGTTTATGTNCGCCTCCGCCAGATCGCAGTTGCTCTGGATATTCGCGATTTCCAATTCGAGATTCTCTTTGAGCTGAATCAAGCCTCTAAGCTCGGTGCCGAGATATCGATCGACCTCGTTACGCAGATATTCCGTGCGNTCTTTCAAAGCCTTGCTTAGCCTCCGATAAATCTCGTCCACTTCCTCGGCGACCGAAGCGCAGTTTGTTTGAAGGCCCAGCGTGTTTTTCTCGACCAGGGCGAGCGCGTCCTGCAGTCTGTGAAGACCTCTACGCACCTACAAACAGAAAGAGACCGGGGGGGGCGTATATACTCTATTCGTCAATTTGACAAGCCCTAACGCAATCTCTACTAAGCCTAAATGTAAACGCGCGTTTGCCTGCCATATATCGCAATCGCGATATCGATTATGCAAATGGCAAGTGGGCGCAAGCGAAACGAACGTGTTCAATTATCAGTATTATTAATGTAAATTTATCACGCATTATGTTGATGTAAACGCGTTGNAACGCGAAAATTTACATTACGTATGTCAGAGAAACTTCACGATATTAAAAAACAAAAACGTACACAGTATTGTTGTATGATACATGTATATATTTGACTTTCAGAGTAAGAGACTAGCTCTTATGGGTAGTCTACAATAAAGGTAGTAAGGCTGTAAAAGTAGAGAGTAAACTATTTTTCGGTGAAGAAACAACGGGAATAACGAAATGAACAATTCCCATTTCGCACTGCCTACTACCTTACTGTTAGCCAATGAAAGACGCGTGTCAAAAAACGCGAAATAATTACTTGTATAGACAAAAATGAAATACACTGAAACTTTATTTATTTTCCCACTCATGAAACGTGAGCACTTCACTTATTTTCCTTTCAGAAGGGATCCCACCACTGCGCAAAATAAAGGTAGTTTTCCATTACGGTTGCAGTGTGATTGGCTGCTGCAAATCATGCCGTTTCCCGCGCCTCGTTTGCTCTGCTAAGTGCGAGAGTGGAGAATGAGAGAAAAATAAGAGTGGGAGTTAGAGGGGAAACTAAGTGGGAATATAACTGAGCGATTTTGTGAGAAGATAACCGAGTGGGAAGATAAGTAAGAGGGAAAATAAATGAAGTTTCAGTGTAACTCCTTCCAAGAACCTTACTTCTTACTCTATACTACCTACTCCCATTATAGACGGCCCTTTAGTCGCAAGTTACAGCCAATTAGTAAATAGTAGAGAAACACACAAGAGCGAGAAGCTCGATACTTATTGGCTGTCGCAAGATCGTAAAGACGCAAACTTTGCGATTTCTGCTTGCGACGACCTTACGACGATCGCAATATCGCGCTCGTGCGATTCATCTTTTGCGATCAATGTAGAACGGGCTTAAGACATACATAAAAATTTATCACAATTGATTGGCTAATTCCATAGCATCTATAATATACTAGACTGCAAGACTCTTTATATATTCCTTAGATTGTGTGCATGAGCATCCGCAGGATTTTTTTTCAGAAGGGAGGTGGAGCAATTTTTCCTCAAAAATTATACATTTAACAGAAAGGTTTCATTGTGCAGAAAGCTTTCATGAATAGATGTATGATTTAATTTGTTAACCAGGGATTTCAAACTTGTTTCAAGATAAATATAATTTATGAAAAAACTTGTCTTTCCAGAGGGAGGAGGACAAATGCCGGGTTTGCTCCTTTTTTTGCGGACGCCCGTGATTGTGTGTACCGAAAAGCCACGTACTTCTAAGCTCAACACACAGACACACACACACATAGGCGGCGAACTTAGTGATGGATTGGAATGTGAAATGTCACATTTTTATGTTCCACGCCATTGAATGTAAAGATCACGTGATACCGCATGAATCTTTGCAGCACACAAAAACTGCGAGAAATTTGCATAATTTTCGTGAAACATATGTATTTGAAAACGCGTGTTTTATAAACGTGTTTTGTTGAATTGTTTGAAGTGTCAGATACGCATTTTATTTCTTTTACCGCGACAATTCACTGTCTTGCGGTACGACACTCGTGTCACGTAGTAGCGAAGAGTAGACAAAACATTCCAATCGGTTACTATATTATATATAAGTTCCGACTGTTCCCAAATAACATTTTGCGAGCAAAATCGTATCCCAGTGCGTCGTCATTTGAACAGCATATAACTAGTAAATCTAGATAGCATTTTGTACGTGAATATCCAGTCATCAAACACAAAAACGACTCATGCATAGGTATGTAATACACTCAAATTAAGAGTAAATAACTTGCAATATGTTAACTATTTGCGCGTTATTTGTTCGTTATATATTGGATAGATATGAGATAGTTTCTTGTGCGCAATATGCACGCGCGTACGCGATGAAATATGTTCGCAAACAAAATTCACAGGCAAATCTCA